CCCAATATGTTAACTTAAATTATAAAAGCAGCAACTTTCCTCACACGGTCCCCCAAACACTCCTGTGGTCGGGTCCCTCTCCTTCCCCTCCACTCCCCACCAAAGGGAAAAAACCCTGCAGAATGGTCGCTTTGTGTTCCTGTCATAATTTGGGGAGGGGGTTGATTTGGGGTTTGCTGTAACAGGGGATTGCCAAGAGTCTTGGGCAAGGTTGGGTGGGAGGGACTGAGTTCGTAGAATGAGGGGGACCAGGACACATCAAGTCATGCAGGTGGGGAAGGGGTGCAGCTTCATGTTAGAACAAGGAAACCTATTAGCAAAATACCGTCAATCAGGCGAGGTGAGAAATCATGTGAAATACGACACAGTGACTGGCTCGCTGGTTTGGGGCAGGCGTTTGTACCTCTGAATTACGTTACTGATTTCCTGAGTACCTGATTCTCTTCCAACTCTTTCGAACTGAACTACTACTTCAACATTTAGTTAACAAATTGTTCCAAATATCACCCACGCTTCAGTTCAAATTCCTCAACATTAACAGTAAAATCAGTCTACTACTTTATTTCTCTCTAACTTCATATTTGCAATATAATTTTTTGAACAATAAAAAAGCAGTAACACCAGAGAAAATGAAGATAAAATCTTGATTGATTTATGATGAATTTATGTGCAATTTCCCTTCACTAGAATAGTGGCTTAAAAATCAGATTTCTTTTTTCCAAAGACATTTTTCCCTCAAAATGCAAAGTGTCACATTCCCTTCAGAACACTCAAGCTAGCAGTTTCTGTGACATAAAATAAACCCTGATCTTAAATTAGTCCTGAGCTTAGTGCCTGCAGAATCTCAGAGGCCACCTATCGGAACAGAAGCCTGACGGAGTGAAGCCCCTGACATCTCTAAAATCAGGGGAGGTGGAGGCTCCTATGACAAAACAGGTAGAATAACATGTTTCACCTCAAAAACATGCCGATCACTGAAATTACACCAGATTCCCACAGCTGTTTTATAGTAAAACCACAGTCCACTCTGGTTTGGACTGTGTTAAGGAATAGCTTTAGACTGTCCATGAGTGACATATACTAGAGTTATAATAAAGATTTTGTGAAATGTGCTGATCTGCCTAAGGAAGTATTTTGAAGACTTCTGAATCACATGGAAATTGTTCAAGCTAATTACAAAGTACTCCTCCTCTAAGCAGGCCCCCTTAGAAGTCACTTAAATATCAGAGTCTGAGATTCTACTTCATGTACCTAGATTACATTTACTTTTAATCTATAAATTAGTCTCTTCACTAATGCATACAGATTTTCTTTCCCTAAAAAAAAAAATTCAATGAGAAAATTATCATAAACATTTAATGATGATACTGGCTCCATTATGGTATGTTTTAAAAAATACTGCAGATAGAAAATGACTATAGTATCGAATGCAAACAGTGGAATAAGTCTCCAAACTTCTGGACATGGTTCATTACATATACAATGATGTATTTCCTGGAGGTAAGAAATTAGGCGCTTCATAACCCTCTTCCCCGTGAATAAAGACAGAAGACAGATGTGGAGTACCGTTTTGGCAGTCACATTACTCATCAACGCGTCACTGTTTTAATTAAGGTTTCCAACACTCTAATTCTAGGAGAAACCCAATAGCACAACTGCGGGATTACCAGGCTGCTAAGCAACCATCTTCTTCTTTTAAAACCAGAAATCATGTGCAAGATGACAGAGAAGATCTTGAGGCAGATCAAAGCGTGACAATGCACTCCCAGGCTCACTGCCTGGAACGGTTCCACGTTTGCCCCTCTGCTACAAAAGCTTCCAGCAGCCCCGGCCCTGACTTTTCGCAGCTCTTCTGCCAGATTTCCCCCCACCCCGTCTGATGCTCGTGTGCGCCAGTCTCCACTCCAGACTCGTTTCACTGAATTCTCACAGTCACCCTGAGAGGCAGGCGCTAATAGTGTCCTCCGTGCACTGCAGACAGGACACTGAGGCCCTGGGGTGGGAAGTCACCTGCTGAGGGCTCTCAGGGTCAGCGGTCCAGTGGGAGCTCGGTTCACTTCTACACGTCTGTTGGCAGGTGTGCCAACTTCTCAAAGCTTCGTAGGCAGGCTCTCAAGTGGAGGCCTGCATCCCAACCATGCAAGTATGCATTAAAACATGGGTTTCTGGGCCTGACCCTAGACCCACTGCATCAAGATTTCGGAGTAGGGGAGCCCAGAGTCTGCATTTTAAACTAGCCCCCCAGATGATTCTGCACCCTGAAGTCCAAGGAACACTGCCCGAGACGGCCTCCCATCTGACCTGGTGGCCTGGCTCGCACCTTCCACCTTCTCGCTGACCTAGACCAGCCCAACTTAGGGAACCCAGGACACTGAGAAGTCCTCCAGGAAGTGACAGGGGAAAGGGGGCAGGGCGCTTGTGGGGAAGCCTGCCCTACAGCCAGAGCTGGGGCTCACAGCCGGCCTTCTGCCTCTTCTCCTACACCGTTCCGGGGACATGGACCGAGGCAAAAGGAATGAAATCCTCATGAGGTCGTTTCAGGGAGCCTGGAGACAGTCTGGTGAGCAGGCACTGACGGAGGGGGGACTCAGCCACAGGCGGGCCCTGGCTGGGGGCTCCCTTCTGACCCAGCAGGTGGGAGGCCCGGTGAGGGCATCACCAGAAGGCCTGCTGGGAAACCCACAGCCGTGGCTGCCAGGAAGCCTGCCCCTCCAGGAAACCGGGGGCCGCCAGCTGTCTCTGAAGTGGGTCAGGCCTGATTGCAGTGCTCTCCCCCCACCCCTGCCTCTTCCCTGGGTTGCCAGCAGAGCCCAAGGCAAGTGCTCCAGTGTGACAACCAGCAGCGTGGTCTCATACTGGATCCAGCCCTGCAGACTTCCCAGGGAAAGCAGGAAAGGCTGAGGCCTCTGTGGCCTGCCCCCAGCCTGAGACATTCATCTGTGGATCATAAAAGGCGGCTCCTTTTTGCTCTGGGGACTGACAAGTGTCCCCTGCCCCTGGACTGGTAACAGAACTCTCCTTCCTGGGTTTGAGCACAGCTGAGCCCTAGCCTTCCACCTCCCCGCTCACCTGGCCTCCGGGCTCAGACCTGCTCAGCCATCCACCCTCCTGACAGCAGCAGCTGGCTCAGGGATGGCCACCCAGCCAACTGCCCCGCAAAGTGCGCCATGTGTGCTGGGGGAAAGGTTCCCTGTCTCCACCGTCTTGAGCAGCACCAAGTGAAGCTGGGGGTGTCAGAGACCATCTTTCCCGCCACGTGGGGAAAGTCTGCCTGAGAATGGAGCCAACACAAAGACAGAACCACGACAGAGAGAGAGATTGGGCTGGAGACATCACTTAAATGCTTAGAATTAGCCGCACCTCAGGACGCTAAGCCACTAAGTGCCCCCTACCATTTACAACTAACTTGAGTTACATTTCTGTCACTTGCAACCCACCGCCCAGGTCTCCTTCATTTTATGCATGTTAAGAACCCCATAGGAATTTAATGTATAATCTGTTAGAAAATAATTCCTAGACTTTAATTAGAAAACCCATACCCGAGGTACTCACCAAGTCATGCACTAAATTATCGGTATGTTTCTGTTTCACAATTTTAAAATCTGTTTTACAATTTTAAAATCTGAAAAATTACTCTGACTAGCGCTTTGTTCAAGATACGAAAATAATCACAAGTTCAAGTCGTTAGATTAAATGTACGTACCTTTAGGGAGTCCCGTATCTTGAATGGGATATTTGTCTGACTGTAGAAACCAACAAAAGAGCAGAGTTATTTTTAAACACCGCAGTCAATTATAAGATCAACATGAAAAGAAAGCTTTGGGCTGGGAAAGCCATGATTTTAACTTAAAACCTTGTAAGTTTTCAGCCCTAGATTTATCAACAGGCCTGCCTCATTGCTTGTTTTTATTGTCAATTTATAGAAGTGAAACCAAGGTTGATGAGGAGTTAATGTTGGAATATGAAACAGAACAAGCCTTCAGCTCTCACCACTAAACCACACTTCCTCTCTTTTCTGCAGTGCTATTCTTTCTTTTTTTTTTTTAATTGAAGTGTAGTCAGTTTAAAGTGTTGCATCAATTTCTGGCACACAGCCCAATGTTTCAGTCATACCTATACAGACATATATTCCTTTTCATTTTTTTTTCATTATAGGTTACTATAAGATATTGAATATAGTTCCCTGTGCTATATAGAAGAAATTGGGGGTTTTTAACCTATTTTTATATAAAGTGGTTAACGTCTGCAAATCTCAAACTCCCAATTTATCCCTTCCTACCTCTTTACCCACAAGGTAACAATAAGTTTGTTTTCTATGTCTATGAGTTTGTTTCTGTTTTGTACATAAATTCATTTCTATTTTTTTTAGATTCCACATATAATTGATAACATATGATATCTATCTTTGTCTGTCTGGCTGACTTCACTTAGTATGATCATCTCCAGGTCCATCCATGTTGCTGCAAATGGCATTATTTTATCCTTTTTTATGGCTGAGTAGTATTCCATAGTATAGATATACCACAGAGTCTTTATCCAGCCATCTGTCAATGGACATTTAGGTTGTTATTGTGTCTTGGCTGTTGTACATAGTGCTGCTGTGAACACAGGGGTGCAGGTGTCTTTCTGAGTTAGAACTCCCTCCAGACACATGCCCAGCAGTGGGGCTGCTGGGTCACAGGGTATGCAGTGCTATTCCCTCTATCTACCAACTGCAGCTTAAAATTGAGGAACATTTGTGTTAGTGAATTCTGGGGACAGACCCACTTCTTTCACCATTTCTGTGTCATTCATTTGGGTCAACGAGCACATGTTCTCACTGTTGGAGAGCTCTGTCCTGGGTTGACTAGGACAGGATTCAAAACGTGACTCTCCCATTGATTGCATGAAGATCTACAAATTAGTCACCCATCGTGCAGTTATGCAGACTTCCCCAGTGCTTTAGTTGAGGGTAGCACTATTACAGGCAATTCAAAATAGCAAATGCTCTTATAGTCACACATCTCTCTTTTGGTACTAAGAAAGACGCAGGTTTCTAAAGTTCTGGAAAGTTCTACCTCAGATTATACAGTGAGGGGAGTGGGGATGCACCCAGTCTCCCCAGTCTGTCCTCTAACCCAGCTCAGTGCCACCATTCACAGCATCTGGGCCTCTGGGTCCAGGGTCCTCCAGCCCAAACAAAGCTACACCTTCCAACTCTCCTGCAGGTCTCATCAATGTCTTCCTTTGACAGAGGAGAAACAGAAACAAATGTAGAACTAAGGACTCTGTTTTAAGTGCCTTTCCTTGGAGTTTTTTTGGAGCTGGTCAGGAAAGTTTCGGAACCTCTGGAAGCCTCCAACCCCTTTCCACAAAAGAAATCAATCGTCAATCACAAAGAACTAAAGTCAAACAAATTTCTCCCAGACTAAATCCTTCTCCACACTGTGCTCGCCAGAGCTGGAAGAGCACGCCTGTACTGTCATACGTATCAGTCTCTTTTCAAAGCACTTATCTATTTCCTCAGCTTCACTGAGTGTTTCAAGAGAAGGGACTATGACCATGGCCTCCCAGATTTTGACTCAGTTTGGTCTGTGTGAATGAACAAGTGCAGGTTTCCTGGAAAGCCTGACATCTGAGCTCGGCCTAGAGGATGCCCAGGACTCGGCTGACTGAAGGGGCTTGGCAACTGCAGACAGTGGACACACCGGGGCCGGGCCAGGTGACTGGAAGAGTGGCATGGCAGGTGTGGGAGTGAAGGTGGAAGGCAGGTCACGCAGAGATGCCTGTTGGAGGCGGGAAGGGAAGACAAGGTTGGACACGAAATACTGGAGCCAGTTTTCTTGAAGAGCCTGGAAGTGAAGTGAGGGGGCTGAGAAGGAGTGCTGTTCCAGGGTCTCGGGAAGTCTGCCTGCTTTGTGCCCTCTGCACGGGCGAAGATGGTCAGCACAGCCCTGCAGGAAGCCAGGGAAGCAAACAATCCCCACACGGTGTGACAAAAGTCAGGACTGGGCTACAGAGTGGGGAGCACTCGAGGTCCCAGGGTAGGGCAGGGAGGGCTTCCTAGATACAGAATGCTCGGACTAAGACGGCAGGAGGCCCCGGAGTTCACAGGGAGGGGCCGGTGCGATCGGTATCCTGCGACGCTAAGAGGACGTGGGGCGTCTGGGGAGCAGCAGGCTGTTACACAGGACTGGCTCACCAAAGGCATGTTGAGACAAGGTCACGGAGGCCCTCATCTGCCACGTCAAGGACTGCACACTTTACCCTGAAGACAGCAGGAAGGCCGCGGGGTGAAATATGTCCCCCCAAAAAGAGATGTTGGAGTCCTAACCCCCAGGACGTCAGAATGGGCGCTCACCGGAACAGGGTCACTGTAGATAAAAGAGGTAAGATGAGGTCACACTGGGGCAGGCTGGGCCCTTAATCCACAGGACAGACATCCTTGTAAGAGAGGAGACACCGAGACAGACACACAGGGAGAAGGCGGCCGTGTGCCAACAATGGCAGACAACGGAGTAGGGCAGCTACAGGCCAGGGGTGCCAAGACCTGGCGGCACGCACTGAAAGCTGAAGGACATGACAGGATTCTCCCCCGCAGGTCTCAGGGGAGCACAGGCCTGCGGACACCTTGACTTCGGGCTTCTGGCCTCCAGAGCAGTGAGACAATACATTTCTGTTGCTGAAGCCACTCTGTTTGTGGGGACTTTGTCAGGACAACTCCCCAAAATTAATGCAGAAAAGCTGCAGGAAAACTTCCTTGTCCCAGCAGCGTGGAGGAGTGGCCAGGACCCAAGGTGAGCAATGAGGCGGCGGCCTGGGGGGTCAAGGCTGTGAGCCAGCCTCGAGACCATCACAGGTCAGGTCGTGGGAGGGGCGAGCTGAGTACCGCTTGCTGGAACCCACAGCTCTGGTAATGGACCACACTGGAGGGGATCAGAAACCACAGGGTCACTTTGCACTCTGCTTTTAAGAGAGTTAGGAGATGGAATTTTTTCATGTTCACTCCCCCAGTGTCTCAAAGCTTGCAACTGACACTGTCCACACTTATCAAACTGTGCCGGGGCCAAACAAAAGCTGTGAAAACAAACATCTCAGGTCTTCAAGACACTGAGGTGCCTTGGGAACTTCCAAAGACTTAGAGACACTGAACTGAATGATATCAAGTGTCTTTTCTGCCATGCCACCTAAACGAGTCCGAACTGTGCATGACTCAGGAGATCACACCCTCCAAGCCCTTTGAAGAAAGGGGTGTATCTCACACTGCACACCTAGTAAACGTGTGATGTTGTCAAAGGCACGCATTTGGTCATAAGTGAGGGGCGGTAACATGTTAAGAGAGCAGGGCTTCTGTCTGGGTGACCGCATACGAATCAGGTAACTGCCATTTCCTCACCTGCAGGATGGGGATGAAGACACCCGGCCCACCAGCTCACAGGCTATTTGCAGGATGAAAACGACGTGTGTGAAGTCTTTTAAAGCAGCAGACTTGCCACAGAGTGGTTATGGGAGGCCGGGGCAGGGGTCTGGATCCAGCTGCTGGGCTCGAATCCCACCTGGGCTGCTTTCAAGTTGGGCAAATTAGCCCACTCCGTGCCTCAGTTTTTCATCAGTAAAGTGGGCAGTGACTATCTCACAGGATGGCTGCAGGGACTAAACGTGGTGAGAGGTACATCCGTTGCGTGCCCATCTGACATACAGGCAGCCCTCCACTACTGGAAGGTGGTCCTACATTTTTTCCTTCCACCTCAAGGTAGATACTTTGACTCCTGAAGAAGGGGTAATTAAACATAGTAAGTACACAAGGAGATAAAGACCTCACACACTCTCAGAAGGTCACCTCTGATGTATGCGAAACGAGAACACAGCCTAATACCGTTTTTAGCCTGGAGAAACCCAAAGTTTATTATGTCACAGGGAAGTATCGTGAAAAATGTATCTTGGGAGACCTTAATTTACGGTTTCTGATCTTCATGTAAATACCAAGTAATGAAAATGTAAAGAAATAACAAAGGGAAAAAAGGAAAAACAAGAGTCATCACTATTAATGTAAAACTTGTAACCTACCATGTTAAGGGATATGGTGCTAGGGTCTGTGTCTTCCACTGGCTCCTTCGCCAAGTGATCTGTCAAGAAAACAAACGGAGAGCATTTTCTTTAATTTAAAAGCACGGGGGGGAGGGTAGAGCTCAGCAGTAGAGCGTGTGCTTCGCATGCATGAGGTCCTGGGTTCAATCCCCAGGACCGCCATTAAAAATAAGTAAGCCTAATCACCAACCACCTTCCCCCTCAAAAACACAAAAACTGAGATAAAATAGTTGCTTAAGTAAAAAAATTTAAAAATATTTTTAAACTAAAAAAACAAAGCACAAATGTGTCCTTTGATAACAGCGTTCATATGGATACAAGCTTACCCCAGTGAGTTTAGAGAAACACTTTCAATCATTAGTGGAGACAAAATAAGACAGAATAGGTTCTGACTGCATCAAGAAAGTGATTAAGACAAATACACTACACTTAAAAAAAACCAGCAGCTGTCCTCCATCTCAGGGCTACAAAGGGACCTGCGATTTTTACAGTTACCAGAAGATAGCACCTCTACCACACCCACAAAGTACCAGGTCTGCTGGTTAGCTATTGCCTAAAATTCTTCATCAAGACCAAAATCTTCATTCCTCAGCTAGTATCCAAATGCTTTTTAAAAGCAAATAGAAATTGAGTTTACTTCTAGGTATTTTGTTGTTTTTGATGTAACGGAAATGTCTCTGCCAGTTACAAAATACTGGTTTTTGAAGTGAAAAAAAAGAGAGAATGAAGGGCCACAAATGATAAACTATCCTTTTTTATGGGTGAGCTGTATTCCATCACATACACGTGTGTGTGTGTGTGTGTGTGTGTGTGTGTGTACACACACTGCATCTTCATTATCTATTCAACTATTGATGTGCACTTAGGATACTTCCATGTCTTGGCAATTATAAATAATGTTGCTGTTAATAGCAGGGTGTATGTATCTTTTTGAATTAATTCTTATTTTGTGGTTGGATTTATTTCTTTGATAACTATGTGAGTTTAAAAAGCTAAAGCTCTAAATGTTCTTAGAAACAATGAACAGTACATATACATAAATTTTTAAAATATAAGTGCAGTAAAAAAAAAAAAAGATCTATCAAGCCATGAAAGACATGGGAGAAACTTAAAAGACCTATTACTAAATGAAAGAAGCCAGTCCGAAAAGGCTACAAACTGTACGATTCCAACCAAATGACATTCTGGAAAAGGCACAGCTACAGAAACAATAAAAAGATCGTGGTTTCCAGGGGTTTGGGGAGGGGGAGGGAGGGAGGGATGAATAGATGGAGCACAAGGGATTTTTAGGGCAATGAAATTATTCTGCATAATACTATAGTGTGTCTATATGTCATTATGCATTTGTCAAAACCCATGGAATGTACAGCATCAAGAGTGAACCCTCATGTAAACTATGGACTCTGGCTGATAACAATGTGTCCATGTGGGTTCATCAATTGTACCTAACAGGCCACACTGATGAGGGATGTTGAGGGTAGGCGAGTATGTATGTGTGGGTGGGGAGGGCTGCGTGTGAACTCTGTATTTTCTGCTCAGTTCTGCTGTGGACCTGAAGCTACTCTAAAAGAATAAAGTCAATTAAAAATTCAAAAAGAAAAAGAAGCAAATAGAAGTAACAGAAGTATAACAGTTTACTTAGAAATGTCTACAAATACTTGGAGTTACAAATAACTACAAATTATGCACACGTGATATCAATGACCCTTTGCATACTGGATTGGATGATAACTTTGAGCAGCAAGGATTCACCTCTGACATCTGCTTCTTTCCTCATTTCCTACTCTTCAGCAACTCACTTGTATCATTTTAAAATATCAAGCTTCTGGATATGTTTCTCGTGAATTAATAGTCAAAAATACTGCACAGTATCTTTATCAAACAAGAAGTGATTCTGATTTCTCAATATTTTGCTTCTTCTGTTTTGCCACTTGTTACACTTAAGGAATTTAATGACAAAATGCAGAAAAAGGTACACGCCACCACTAGATTTTACGAATTTTTACAAAATAGGAAAAAAGTTTCCCCTTTCCAAGACACTTCATCAAACACCTGCCAGAAAACTGTCTTACTCCATAACCACACCTGTCTGAGTGGGCACCTCTGAATTTGCGCAGTGCACAACCTGCAACCCTAAGTGGCAGCTATGGGCCAGTCAAGGTTCAACTTCCTTTTCTTCCCCCAAATCCTCATTAAGTACGTGCTGCGGACCAGGCACGAGGTCCTGGGAACGCCTTGCAGGATCCAAACGAGCGTTAACAGGCGATTTACGGAGACACTCTGTTTGCTCCCCCTAGATGTTTGCCATCTGCGCGTCTGGGCTGTCCACGCTGCTCTCCCCACAGGCATGGACCAAAGGAGAGGTGGTGTGAAGGGAGCACCTCTTTATTTACTTATGACAGCCTACAGTCACTGGAGAGATTAGAGGAGGCGGCCTGGGTGGAGGGAGATGGAGAGAGATTCTTTCAGGGACAGACACCGGCAGCTCCATCAGTGGGGACTGCGCCCTGGTCCTCGGCAGAGCCCAGAGGTGGCAAGCGCACATCAGGGAATGCACCGAGGGTGCTGGCGCCCTGGGGCCCAGGGTTCCCAGCCCCAGCACAGAATCCGTGACTGCTGCTGGCACAGAAACAGAGGGCTGCTGGATCTCAAGTCTTCTCAGGCTTGGACAAGAAGGACATCAATGCCGACCCCGATGCACAGAAAATTCAGGGCCCCTCCTTGGTTTTCCCAGCACCACGTCATCCTCTCGGATTCTCGTGTGACCCTAAGGAGGGGGCCAGGGCCCCATTCGGATTGAAACAGCATTTCCTGCCAGCCCAGTGGCTTACAGACTTAGACTCAGATTTAAACAGAAATAAAGAAAATAAGAACGACTTGTGTTGACGACTCCGCCCTGAACTTACAGAACTCCTGCTGCCTGAGGAACAGGCAGTTAGTTATAATGCAGAGCACTTGGTGTGAAGATGTGGAAATGCAGAGTTATACGGAAACACCTGGGAGGGACACATGCCCTTCCTGGGGTGCATGGTGGGGAGGCAGGAGGGGGTAGAGAAGAGTCTGGAATGTTGAGTTGAAGTTAGCCAGGAGAAGGAGTCAGGGAGGGAAAAGCATTCTAGGCAGAGGGAACAGCATAGCTGAAGGCCTTGAGATGAGAAAGAACGTGACATATGAGAGGACTTCAAACAGGCCCAGCCAGAAACCTGCATTCGGTTTTCTGCTATTTCCTTTCCATTCTCACATTCTGGTTTCTGCCTGGGGAGAAGGTAGCAGAAGCCACCACTAAGTAGCCTCAAGTTCCTTCTTCCCTCCTGTCACAGCCTAGTCTCAACAATTTCATTTCCACTAAAGTGAATCTGGATGACTGTGCTTTAAAAGATGACCTCCACCCGGGGTGCAGAGTTTTAGCAGGAATCAGCATCCTGTGCAGACACCACCCACTCGATCAATGACAAGCCAGGCCACGTTCCTACAGAAACGCTAGTAAGCGAGGAAGAAGGAAGAACAAGACAGAGAGGAGGAAAGTGGAGGAGACAGCTGGGAAAGGCAGAATTTCACCAAAAGCATCAGTGAGGACGCAAACATGGCATCTGGAGGGAGGAGCACTGGGCTTGGGAAGAGGCCGCCAGGCCACTGAGAGCCAGCGGTCTGACCCTGAATGAGCCCAGCGCTGTGACCTTGGATGACAAGGTGAGTGTTCCCAGCTTCAGGCCCTTCAGCTGGCACAGGAGAGGGTCCAGGTGGCTGGTTCCCACATCCAGCTGGTAGTCCCTCTGGTCTGGCCAGGCTGGGGACAGACTCCCCCAGAGAATCTGCGATGTAACTGAGCACACCTAGGCGGTTATGGGGTGAACGGGAAGATACAGGCAGCCGACAACAAGCCCTTGGAGGCCCGAAGGCTCACTCTTTGGTCGGAAATCTCTGGGAATAAATGGACCTTAAGATGGGGAGGGCGCGGAGAGTCTAGGCTGTGTGCTTTCTGAAGCTGCACAGCAACATGGGAGGGCCTTTGGGCAAGGCGACAGGTCTGGAACTTGTTCAGGAGCACTTCCAGCTCTCTTATCATCTTCATTCAAATTCTGTCAGCCTCTGACGAAGTTCTTCCCTCCGTGCTTCTGCCAAATCGGCTCTCGGGCCCAGGCGCGTGGCAGCGCCCGGTGAGCTTCTCCCCGGCCATGGGGACAGTGCGCGCAGATCTCCCTTCGTTCTCACGGTGTGGAGCTGAAGATTACTTGGAGCGGGGCTGATCCTGGTTCTCTGAGACTGGTCTGAATGTCAGCAGTTGTTCTAAAGTGTTTCTGAGAGCTCTTGGGGCCGCATGTTTACAATATTATTAAGTATAAAGTCAAATGGTTTACTTAGAAGGTTTAAAATGTTGACTTCTGCAGCCCCAGGTAACAGCAGGCTGAGACGGGGCACATAGGAGCCAAAACAGGAAGGGGGCCAGGTGAGCTCCAAGGTGACAAGACCAGCCACTAGGCTGGGGGCCAGTGGGGACCCTCCTCCTGCTCCTGGCTGTCACTCTACTGTCCCAAAGCTGCCTCACTGTCCTGGCTCAGAGACTTGAAACCAGGCCTCGATCCTCGAAATTAGCTGGTAACTGACCAAAGCAGGTCTCTCTGATGGCACTGAGAATGATGCTTAAGTCACATGAGCATCTTCTGGAGAGTTCCTCCAAAGGCATGAGAGAAACCATGGTGAACTGAAGCTGCGCAGCCGCTGGAGGGGCACCTGGCGGCTCCCGGAGGACCCAGGTGAGAGCAGTCGAGGAGGGCTGCTGTCACTCGCTTCTCTAGGCCGCAAGCCCCGATCTGTGCTCTTCCAGGGTGAACGGAGGGCCTCCACGTGCCCTTCCAGCTGTGAGAGTCCATGAGTGGTGGGAAGTAGGGGCCCCAGGGGTGAAAGAGCACCTTCGGGCTAAGGTCCCCCTGCCCCCGGGGGCCCAGGTCACAGCACTTCCACCTCAGTCACACGAGACTCCCGCTGCCCTGGTGCCTGCTGTGCGGCCAGGTTCACACACAGCCCGCTCATCCTTACAGTG